CTACAAGAAAACACAGAACATCCTTTTCTTACTATTTTTACAACAAGAAGCCCGTTAAAACAGCAGCATGAATATTCTAGCTCAGGCAGAGATAAAAGGACATAATAAATAGGAAACACTGTTCTCCTGATGTATTCCTGAAAAAGTCCTTGTCAATCATACTCAGTAAAGCGAATCAAAAATAATGCTTACTGTGGCAAGAATCTGCGCTCAGTTTCATGTTCTGGGGACAAATAATGAAACAGACGTAGTGAGACGAATAAAATTTCCAAATGAGGTACCTTGGAATACAGTGCTTCCAGAGACTCTTACTAACATCACTGTAAACTCTTGGTCTTCCTTCCAGGTTCTGTTTCATGTACGGACATGAGTTATTGCCAACAAGCTAATATCTGCTCTGAGCCCAAGCACAGTATGTCTCCAGTTGCCATTTATCAAGAGCTTCAAAACAATGTGTTTATCTTTCTGCTTGTTGTGAATATTAATAAATTAAGATCTTTAAACTGTCGAGAAAGAAGTAAGAAATAACTGCCAAGAGCTCCGTTGCAGATGATGTATTTACATACATTAGAGAAGTACCATTAACAGTAGTTAATGATGCTTTTACATCTCAAAATGCACTGCAATTGACTGTCGATTTGTTTTAGAGGTGTTTGCAATCATAAAATAAACCTCTCATTAAGTGGATCCTTAGCAATTTTTAATAATTTTAAACTGTGATGCTCTATTTAATGCTTTAGCAATAATACACTGTTTCATGGAGATAGTTTTTTACACTTAGAATTTTTATCGAACTTTATTAACGTTAATGAGACTGCATTACTTATGTTCTATCCTAATTCAGAATGTTTTTAAAGGTCATGAAGGCTAATTTTAAAATGTGTATTTTGGAAAAAGCGAGTTCTATCAGTTAATGACTATACAATTAAAACATAATTCCACTACTTTCTAAAGGAAGCCACATTTAGTAATGCACTACGTCTTCACGAGTGGTTTTAAAAATTAAAAGTTTAGGACAAATCTCTGTTATGAAGCAAAATAGACACAAATGTTAAAGTGAATTTCACTAACTCCCGATTCTCTTCTTGACTGAGTCTGACTTTTGATTAGAACTAGGGAACACAACGCCTGGCAAACCACAGTGAAGGATACTTATATCAAGTGAACTTCCAAAGGTAAAATTAGAAAACATATCTCCCCTAAGTCAACATACTCTGCAATATTTTACTGGTGACTTAAGTCTCATTTTGGCTGAGAAAACTAAGAGTAAAATGGAAAGTATATTTGCTATGAGGGTGTCAAAGCCATGCAGAATAGAAACTTGAGCTAAAATACTTAACCCTGCCTGTAGACTTTCCAAGAAAGATGGAAACTGCAAAAGTGGAGGGGAATCCTGATATAAGTTGCTAAGATATCATTTGCAAGCCTCTTATATGTCTCTCGACTGAGAGGTTCCCCAGTTCTCTGTTCTTTCAAACCATTTTATTTCCTCTAGGAACAACTGTTCAATCCTTTGGTAGCAGATCTTCGTAACAATTCCTCACAACAATGTAGGTGTAAAATTCAACAGAGTTTCTCTGAACTGTTCACACAATGGTGAGAAAGTTTATAAGACAGTAATTCTAAATATGCAACAAAAAACAAATGTTTCACAAATTTACAAATTTAAGGAAGTATGCAGGAGGAGTACTAAACACACTTGGCATGTTTGAAAATATACTTGGTGCTTGTCAGCTCTCAAATAGTACAGACATATTGTTTGTATTATATCAATAATAACAAGAAATCATAAAGAATTAATCATGAGTATGTGCCTTCATCCCAGATCACAGTAAGACCAGCCACTGCATTTCTTTTGCGATTAGGCAAAAATGTAACACATGAATCCTGTGAAGACAGTCTTTTTATGGGTTCTTGAAGAATTCCAAATCAAAAAATCATGTTCCCCTTTTAACATGAATACTTCCTTCTACCCATACAATGAAGACAAGAGCACGAAGAGAAATTTTTGATACGTCTCAGTAACTAAATGTAGATATGCTAACTTCAATAAGGCTCTCATCTCAGAGGAGCCAGTATAGAACTGTGTCTCCAGTAAAGTATCTATTCAAAAATTATACATTCCTTAGTATCTATGGAGAAGTCTTATTTTTAAAAAAGAAGCATAAATTCACCAAGCACACACCAGTTTGTCATTAGACCTTTGGTTTCTGTTGTTCAGCACCACCTAATTCCAAAAGATAAGATTCACAGGAATGCCTCCAACATCTAATGTGCTTAAAGCAAGACAGTGAGATAATATTCAATAGAGCTAAACATTTAACCTCCATTGTCACTGATACAAGGAAATAAGAGTTCCAGGAAGGTAGGGTTGAATGCCATGCTTGGATTTTTGCCATCAAGAAAAATCTACTCCAGCATGTATCATATGACACAGATATTTACTTGGAGTATGTTTTTAAAATGATACCTACTACTAGTATCATGGATCTCACCCTGAAAGTCTGACACGTTAAAAAAACAGCAGGGGCAAATAGTTTTATAAGCTACGTGGCACTGTCGTTGTTTTGTTCCCAGGGGAAAGAGATAATTTTCCAAATATTACACTACCTATCTTTTCCTGGGGTCAGCTGAAGGTGGTCAAGACTCCAGACACAGACTGTGATACAGAGTTGGTTTTCCGTGATGGTGATTCCTGGAGCTCATATGCAGGATGTGCCCTGACTCTTAAGGTAACCATGGCCAATCAAGGTAGAGAAGGTGAGGTCGCTGCCATTTTCAAGAAACGCTGGTGGTGCATGATCTTGATAATCATTACTGAGGATAGTAATAGTGGCCAACGTTTACAGAGGGGACGCTATATGGTGCACACTATGCTTAGTCCTTTAATGTGTCACCCCACTGCACCCTCATAACACCACTGTGAGTTAAAAACTATTAGCAACACTACTTCACAGGTTAAAAAAAATAGTAAAGGCACAGTAGTTACTGTGTTCAAGATCACTGTGAGTTGAACTCAAATCTGTGTGCTTCCTGAGCCCATGCTGTTTATCACCACAGTGCCAGCTGCGTATGGAGTCAGACTCAGCCGCATCTCTTACTATAACCCTGGGCAAGATACTTAACCTCACAAAGCCTTGGTTTCTTCATTTGTAATGTATGGATTATAGCACTACCTACCTCACAGGCATCAGAAAAAAACATCTGAAACTTGGAAATAAGCAAATGAGATCACTGGATTCCTTCAGTGTAGGGTTTCCACAGCTGGCCTGCTTTCTGTTTACTGGGCTATTTTACAACTTTGATGGGAGACAGTAACTTGTG